AGACAGGCGGGGAGTCATTATCTGCCCCGGCTTCCTAATTGGCCAGAAAGCCGGCTCCATGCTCCCCCATCTACCTGGTGACAAGGGAGCATGGAACCGGCTTCCTGGCCAATCAGGAAGCAGGCGGTGAGTCATTACCTGCCCCCTCCGGCTTCCTAATTGGCCAGTAAGCTGGCTCCATGCTCCCCCATTTCCTGGTGACAAGGGAGCATGGAACCGGCTTACTGGCCAATCAGGAAGCCGGGCAATGTGTAATGACCCGCCCCCCGGTTTCCTGATTGCCCAGAATGCAATCAGGAAACCCGGGAATCCGGGTGGCTGGTCATTACACGCCGCCTGGCTTTCTCAATGGGACTTCTGCTATCGGTATTTGGTAGAGGTGAGAAAAAAGAAAAAATAACAGTACTCGTACACGATACTGACAAACCGGTATCGGTGCATTCCTAGTTCTAAGCCTGAGAAAAGAAAACAAATGCAGCCAATACATCTAAAGGGCGGGTGAGCTGCAATGCTGAAAATTTCAAGGGACACAGGATGAAGTAATTCAGGTGCATTGGGTTTTGTTGCTGCCTTCCGGAGATTGGACTTCCGCAAACAAACAACCAAGTATAACCACTCCCATCATGCTCCAGTTTTGTAGCAAAGCAATAGGCGGAGTGGATCATAAAAAGAAGAAGAGGGGAGGGACCCTTATAAAGGATTTTATGCTATGTAAGAAATCTTATGGTCTTATGCATCAATTGAAGGGACACAGGGCGGAGTAATTCAGCACAATGGGACATTCAAAAGAAATCCAACTGAGGGGTGGGCAACACAGCAATCAAAACCACAACTGGCCCTTGTAAGAAAGAACAGGTAATCAGAGGGGGATCAAACAGTGTCTACAGTGTCGTCTGAAGAACCTTATGAGCTGAAACCGGCATCAAATGAGGCCCGAATGTCCACCAGGTAACACCTGATCCAAGTGTGAACCAAAGACCAGGGGGCAGACCAGGGGGCAGACCAGGGGGCAGACCAGGGGAAAGACCAGGGGAAAGACCAGGGGGCGGGTCAGGGGGCAGACCAGGAGGCAGGTCAGGAGGCGGGTCAGGGGGCAGGCCAGGAGGCAACATTGCAAATCTCAGAAACTGATTCCCGATGGTGAAAAGCCCAAAGAGCACTAACTCATCTAGTGGAGTGCACTTTGGTGGGGAAAGGTGGAACCTAAGTAGGGTTGAATGAGGTATTGAATCCACCTGACAATAGAGGAACAAGAAGCAGGCTGTGCCGAGAGGGACCATCAGGTATGGAAGCGAGTCAGATTGTCTATAGGGAGCTGTAACTGAGAGACAGATTCAAACAGTGCATACCACACCCAGACAACGGAGGGAAATTGCCTTTGGTCATGGAGAAGAGAGAACAATGTCCTGGTTAGGGGGGAAAAGAAGAAACCACGTTGGGAAGAAGAGTCCTCCAGTGTACCTTGTTGGATCCCAAGAAGAGGATTTTACAGCGAGTACAAAAATAAGGCCTCAAGACAACCTTGAGTAGAAAGTATCCTGTCCAGGTTAAGTAGATAGTCCATGGTCCCATCGCACTGGTGACCGCGTAAATCCCTTCAGAAAATGGGTGCTGCGGTAGTCAACGGGTGGCAGCCGTAACAATCGTGAGCAGAAGCAGAGACACCGGCACTCCAGATTTGCAAAATACGTCTATTTATTGACGTGCATCGTGGTAGAAAACAACGAACGTTTCGGGGTCGCAGGGGATCCCCTTTATCAGGTAAAACATACAGTGTAAGTGCACATAAACACAGCTGATATATAGCACCAACCCTAATCAGAGTGGCCAATCATCAACCTCCACATTGACCCCATGACCTCATGTTCCCGCCAATTGTAATTGCATGAAAGTGACAGATTATAAGACACAATGGGGTTGATTTACTAACCTTATAAACACGCCACGGACAAGTATACACCTCTGTAGTGTGTTCCCTCCCAGCATGATCTATTGGTGGAATCTAAACACCTTTGTAGTGTGTACACACCCAGCATGATCTATTGGTGGAATCTAAACACCTTTGTAGTGTGTACACACCCAGCATGATCTATTGGTGGAATCTAGACACCTTTGCAGTGTGTACACACCCAGCATGATCTATTGGTGGAATCTAGACACCTTTGCAGTGTGTACACACCCAGCATGATCTATTGGTGGAATCTAGACACCTTTGCAGTGTGTACACACCCAGCATGATCTATTGGTGGAATCTAGACACCTTTGCAGTGTGTACACACCCAGCATGATCTATTGGTGGAATCTAGACACCTTTGCAGTGTGTACACACCCAGCAGGTGTGTTGTGCAAAGCCCTGCATGAATTACAAGGTGATGTTGTGTAAATTAGCTCTACGTTGTGTTGCTTGCATTGATGAATGCAAGAATGTAAGTGCATGAGCTAACCATTTTTGTCTAAACTGTGAAGCAGCATTATATATGCATCATGTGCATGATTTTTCCATATATGGCATTAGTGGAAATATGCTTTTAGAGACTTTTTGGTTGATAAATACATTTTGCTGTGTAAAAATCACACGCACCTAGTGCGTGCGTGTGTTTAGGTTAGTAAATCACCCCCAATAAATCACAGTGTATATGATATAAAATGCGTATGGTTACCTCCAATCAGCTATAGATCAGGAGCCTGCTCAGCTGTGTTTATGTGCACTTACACTGTATGTTTTACCCGATGAAGGGGATCCTTTGCGACCCCGAAACGTTCGTTGTTTGCTACCACGATGCACGTCAATAAATAGACGTATTTTGCAAATCTGGAGTGCCGGTGTGCCTCTGCTTCTGTCCAGGTTAAGGTTAGTGATGAGCTCTGGCGTGTTCGCAAGCACCTCGTGCCGAGCCCGCCAGGAAGCTGTCAGCGCGCAGGGCCAATCACAGGCACTGAGCCATTTTCCGATCTCTGCAGCTGCGGACCGGGAACATGTCTCAGCGCCTGTGATTGGCCCTGAGCGCTGACGGCTTCCTGGCGGGCTCGGCACGGGGCGCTTGCGAACACGCCCGAGCTCATCACTAGTTAAGGTCACCAACTCGGAAACTCGTCTTGCACAGGTGATGGCGATGAGGAGGCAACCTAAGTAAGAGTAGACAGAGGAACATGCCCGATAGCTTCATGATGTGGGCACCATCCTGTATGAAAGCTAAAGGGCGAGAGGACAAAAAAAAATGCTAGGGCCGTGATTTGACCCTTGATGGTTCAGATGGCCAAATGACCCAGACCCGAGAAAACACATTATTCATACTACAGAGTACTTTCTGGGATGGAATTTCCTTGCCTTGCACCATAAGAAATATTCATTGCAGGTGCGATAGTAGTGCAAGAAGTTAATTTCCTAACTTTTGAACGCGCAGGGTTAACCGAATCAGACAGCACCCTTATCACTCAGGACTTGGGCTTCAAAGGCAGCAACTGTGAAGCAGGGTGGTAAACTGATCCTTTGGACAGAAGATCTGCACGATCTGGGAGGGCCCATGGACCGCCTGCCAAGATTCTAAAGAGGTCCGAGAACCACATCCGGCTAGGCCAGTTCAGTGTTCAGTGCGATGAGGATCACTGGCATGCCGAGCATCAGCCAATCCAGGAAGCTGCAAGCATGAGCCCCTTCTGGCTCTGCAGGAACCGTAGACACTTGATAAAAGGAAGCAATAAAAAGAGAATAAGTCTGTTCTCCTACTGGAGCATGATGGGAGTAGTAGGGGTTATACTAGGCTGTCTCATAGCTTTGTTTGCCAATCTTCTGAAGGCGGCAGAATAACCCAATGTACCTAGATGACTCCATCCTTTGTCCCTAAGGCCTCATTCACACGCGAGAAAGCCGGCATGTACAGCTCCGTGCTGGGTGCACGGCCGTATCGGGCCGCTCCCGGGAAGGAGAGGTGCTGTGTGTGATTAGTACGCAGCCCCCGTCCTTCTCTATGGGAGTATGCAGCCGTACGCCACGCCAACGCTCACCCCAAGTGCAGGTCCGCACTGGTGCGGGTGTCCCGGCTCGGACGTGGACAGGATCCATCCGGTCAGCGTACGAGTACGGACACCCGCACGGACCTGCGCTTGGGGTGAGCGTAGGGCGGCGTACTCCCATAGAGAAGGACGGGGGCTGCGTACTAATCCCACGCAGCACCTCTCCTTCCCGGGAGCTGCCCGATACGGCCGTGCACCCAGCTGTACATGCCAGCTTTCTCTCCTGTGAATGAGGCCGTAATGTATGATTAAGAAATATCAACTTACACTCGACTTTTAAAATGAGGTCCCACAGAGCAATGTATATGATGCTGTACCTTCAGGAACCAATCAGAACTGACCTTTCACAAATATAACTGCAGTTAAAGGACACCTGTACCCTTTCCAGCATTATTTTCATTTGACAATAACACACTTCCAGTCCCAGAGTGACAAAGCTCATTCACTGTACTTTATGGAGGATCGGCATTGTCACACCAGGACAAAAAGTGTGTGAGATGTACAGAAAACCAACCCCCCCCTCCCCTTCCCT